CCGTTTCTCTGACTCTTTGAGAAGCACACATGCATGCAGGAGTCCGACGAGGCCAGAAGAGGGCATCAGATCCCCCAGAATTGGAATTACAGATGCTTGCTAGCTTTCAAGGGTATGCTGGGACCTGAACCAGCATCCTCCGGGTGGGCTATAAGAACAGCAAGTGCTCTTAACCACTGACTACTCTCTCTAGCCCTCCAAAACATCTTTATAAAACCCTAACTCTGCTTCATAAAAAAAATGATAATAATAAAACCAGGTTTCAAATACGGAGAAGAGGCTGAGGATTTTCCTCAGGGGTAGGGCTTGCCTAGCAAGTGTTAAAACCTTGGTTTCAGTCTCCAGCACTAAAAGGAAGAAAAGGAGGGAAGGAGGGAGGGAGGGAGGGAGGGAGGGAGGGAGAGAGGGAGAGAAAGGCCAAAGAAAAACGTTACCTGCTCCAGTAAAGGTAAAATATTAACTTCAAAGTTGGATAAATCAAGGATTAGAGAGATGTTTCAGTGGTTCTAAGAGCACTTGGTGCTCTTGCAGATGACCCAGGCCCCGACATGGTGACCTGCAACTGTCTATAACTCCAGTTAAGAGCACTTGCTGCTCTTCCAAAGAACCTGGGTTCAGTCCCAGCACCCACATCAGGAGCTCACCTCTAACACCTTCATGTCTCCACCAGCACCAGGCACACATGCAGTTGCACTTACACACAGGCAGGAAAAACACACACAAAATAAAAATCTTATTTTTTTTTTTTTAAAAAAAATCAGTAAATTGGGCCAGGCGGTTATGACGCACACCTTTAATCCCAGCACTCGGGAGGTAGAGCCAGGCAGATCTCTGTGAGTTCAAGGCCAGCCCGGTCTACAGAGCGAGTTCCAGGACAGGCACCAAAACTACACAGAGAAACCCTGTCTCGAAAAACAAACAAACAAACAAACAAACAAAAATCAGTAAATCATTCATGGATACTTCAACTTGTAATTAAACAATGAGAAAGTGTACAAATTGAGGAAGGTGGAAATATTTCTTCAACACTGTATACTTAAAATAAGGGATGACGCCAGGTGTGCTGCACACACCGGAAATTGTAGCACTTGGGAGGCTGAGGCAAAAAGGATTTCAAATTTGGGGAAGAAAAAGAAAAAATGAACCAAAGAAGAGCAGAAAATAAAGACTGAGGATGCAGCTCAGTTCACAGACTGCTTGCCACAAATGCATAAGGCCCTGGGTCTGGTCCCCAGCACCACGTAAACTGGATACAGTAGCACCCATCTATAATCCCAGCACACAAGGTGGAGGCCATCCTCAGCTACATATCAAGATCCAGGCCAACCTGAGCTACATGAAACCTGATCTCGGGAGCGGGGAGGAAGAGAGTGGCGGGACAAAGGAAGAAAAGGAGGCAGGAAGGACTGGAAAGGGGGCTCATTGGGTCAAGATGCTTGCTGCTAAGTCGGACAGCCTGAATTTGATCCCAGAACCCCGGTGGAGGAAGAAAACCAAGTCCTTCCTGCAAGTTCTTCTCTGACCTCCACAACAGTGTCACCACACGCCACTCTAAACAAATAAATACATGTAACAAACATTTTTGAAAGACAGCACAAAGTTAGCTGATTTAAACCAATGTATCCTGGCTTTAATTATACTAAGAGTCAGAAGATGCACATGGCAATGCTGATGTCATAAACAAATTTGAATAGCCGCTTTCCCTAAAGCCACTCCCCCAAGCAATGACCAGTCTCTTGCTGATGTCATAAGCTGCCCACTGTGACCACCCATTCTGTCCCTTGACAACACAGGGTCTCAGCCCTTCGAGTCGAAGGGTTGTAACCTGCTAACTTCACCTCCCTGGAAGCTACTGTTTTGGGCTCTTGTATCTGCTTGAGTTAACTTCTCTTGTGGCTCTCTGCTGGTTTTCTCTGCGTAGCTGTTGCTGACGGAACTTGAAGAGTAAGACTTTCACTCTAGAGTCCCAAGAGCCAAAGCCTCGCAGAAGACAGCACCATCTTTCCTACAAAACGGCTTTTCCTTGAGAGGTGTGTCATCTAGCCTTTGGCAGCAGGACACCTGGCTTCCAGTCAAGTCCCCATGGAGCCAGAATCCATAGAAATCTGTCCTTATAACCCTCACCACCGAATTCCACTCAGCCGACTCCAGTACCACCTGGCATCATGCAGGAAGAAGAATCCCAAGAAAGCCAAAAAGATGGCTAGTTGTAAATACAACGCCTGCCACGTGGTCCCCATCAGGAAGCTGGCTGAACACGAAGCTACCTGTGTCAACAGAAGCTCCATGGAGGAAGAGGACACTCTGAGCCCTCTGCACGTGAGTCTCCCACAGCCGCAGAACGAGGACCCGCTACAGGTCCCTTGGCTTTCCAACCCGGACATATGGAATGTTGACGGCGCCAACGGTCACCCAATGTTCGTCCTTAAGAGTTTTGTTCCCCAAAAACTTGTTTGTGAAAGTGACACTCAAGAGTCACAGAGAGGAGACCAACCCCCAGAAGATCCTCAGACCCGGACCAGGAGGGCAAACCTCTAGCAGCGAGAAGAGGGCTCTCAAATGCGTGGATAGACACGAATCTCAGAATAAAAGCCTGCAAAGTAACCGGCCCTGCTCTTGATTGTTTCAAACGGCTTAGGAGGTCTGAGGTGAGGGAGGTGGGGTTTATAACATAGGTGGGAACTCCCATGGGGAACACTTTGACAGTGGCGATGAAAATGATCATCACACACAGGCTTTAATCAAGTAATTCTACACCCAAGACTTCACCCTGTACAGACAGCCACATGTGGCAAATGAGGTCGAGCAGTTATTCAGCGAGGTGTGATTTATAGCAGCACTGACTTACTCATAAGGAGGGCCTACCTGGGGGAGTGATGTCGCGGCTTTACCAATGAGAGAAGGCACTGTGATGAGCCAGCTTAGAAACTGTACAGAGGTTGGAAGCGGGTCACAGCGTGTTCGGAAAAGTTTATAGTTAGGTTCAGCTCACCCTGCAGTCTCTCTGGCAGCTACTTGGTTCTTAAACAGGCAGAGATAACACCTAAGCCAGTGACCCCATGTTCCAATAAAACTGTCTACACAAACAAGAGGCAGGCTAGATTTGGCCAGTGGGATGTAGATTGCCAAACCCTGAGTTTAACTGATAAAAAGCCTAGAAAAGTCTACATTATAGAATGCCAGTTTTACAGGGCCAGAGAGGAAACATGATATGCGTGCCTGTGTTTACATGGCACACACAAGATACAATGGGAATCTGTCCCCAGAGGTCTAATTGGCTATCACCTGATAAAAGAGCTTCCTCCCTAGACTCGAATAACGGCTGCCTGAATGGAAGACAAGGAGGTAACCAAGGAGCAGGATGACATCTCCCGTTTCTTCGCCTGCACATACATGTGAATGTGCTACCTGGCTTAAATATTTAAAAATATATAACAGCAGCCAGAAGTCATAATTAGGGTTTTGTTAAATGTAAGTTTTTAAGGAAGAAATCTTTACTTCTGAAGACATGGTCTTATTGTGTAGCTGGCCTAGAAGTAACCATATAGTCCAGTTGGCCTTGAACTGTGAAGTGAACTTCCTGTTTCTGCCGGGGTCACAGGGGTCATGCCACATCCAGTTTGGGAGGAAAGCTTTTTTCTTGGGCACACTCCACTCTTGTATAACATTAGAGGGACCAGCCTTAATATTATACATCCCAGGGACTCAGGAGAGAGAACTACTAACGGCGAGGACTATTTTCGGGAAATAGAATCTCAGCACACCGAGCTCTGTAGTCCACTTGCTTTAATTCCTCTGGCATAACATCCTTTATACACAGCTTCAGTTCTGTTCTCGTGCCTAGCTCCTTTTTTGTCTGATTTCTCTCTATATTTATCTACTGTTCCCTCTAAGTTCTATCTTAATTGTTCCCTCTATGTTCTATCTTAATTCTCTCGCCTTAATTCTGTCTCATCTAGGTCCTTTTCATCTTGTTCTTACCCAGCTAGTACTTCCCCATCTGACTCTTCCTCATCTTCCATCTCGTCCACATGTACTCTCTGGTCAAAACCCTCCTTGTTCCTCCCGGGTCTTCGTCTCTCTGTCCTCCACGTGCCCTGGAAGTCCTGGTATATATACACAGTACAAGCAGTAATCCCTTGGCAGTGCAAAGCCATGCTTCCAGGGTCAAACGGAGGGGTGATAAGAATCACATAGAGGGGCAGTAACTGTTAAAACAAGCCCAGGGGTGAGGCAGGTGCAGCTCAGTGAGAACCCACCTGAGCATGGGGCTCAGACATAGACTGTAGGAGGTAGAGTGGGGAAGAGCAGGGCCTGTCCCCAAGATTCCCTGCATAAGAGCAGGGAAGTGTCTGAACTGTGGTGTGCTGGCTCGGTCATGTCTTCAGATGTTATTTCTTGCCCTGCTGGAGAGGGTGTGACTCTTAACCTCCCACGGGTTCATCAAACCTCCAACCTCCAACCCAAGGACACTCATGCAAGCTACTCAACACTTCCTGATCTAGACATTAGGCTTAGCATCTCCCTCTTCAAGCTCATGACTGATCACCAGTTACGGGCCATGCTCTACCCACTGAACCTAACCAAGGAGGCAACAGCCTGAGCAATTAAGGCCACAACCTCAGATATATGGCCCTAGGGCTAAGCAGCCTTCTGAACACTGGCCAGAGTTGGGAGGTTCTGCCAGCCCTCTCTTTAGGAATGGTCTCACCTAACGGCTGGCTCAGCTTAAAGCAGCAGCATCTCCTTGGAGGCCCAGAGCCACCCATGGCCCCAGCCAAGTACCGTACAGTCGTGAGGCATTAAGACATTAAAGCTGAATGCACCATTCCAACAACCTCTCCAAACCAGTTTCCATCCACCCACACCATGAGTTCTTGGGAGCTTTGCGGAGACACCCACTGGGCAAAGCTGGTAACTCTGAGGACAAAGGTCCACATGCCTTTATCAACTGAAGCCACTGAGGCACTTCAAGCAAGGCCTAGAAGGCAGAGTCACGCTGCATAGGGAGAACGGCATTTTATTGTGGAGAGAATGTACCAACGGGGGATGAGAAAAGGAACACTCCTAGCCACACCCCCTATCCTAAGCAGGGGTGAGATGAGGCCAGGCCTGCTGAGAGCTTGGGAGAAGCTAACAGGGCTCCTTGTGGCATCGGGGACAGGACAGACAGGCCTAGGAGTGGGACTTTGTTCTGTTAGCACCAGGAACTTCACGAAGCTAGACCTGGGGACAGGATATAGTGTGTTCCTTCTGCTGCCACTGAGTAGTCTGAGGGGCTGACAGCAGACGACTTCCTGAAGCTGACCACCTGAATGTGATTTCAATGCATACCTCACCCCGACCCTAGCCCCTGTAAACATGAAAACAGGCTTGTGCCCACTAAGCCCCTTCAGGACAGAATGAGGGTCCGAGATGATCGGCTGGGCTTTAAGCGGCCCAGGAGCTGCCGGGCTTTCTCTTGCATGAAGAGCTGGTCTTTGGTGCCTCCACAGGCCACCATCTTCCAGGCGCTGGTCATCTGGTAGGAGGTGAGAGGGTAAGCTCAGTAAGAAACCCTGGTGGTCCTGGCTAGTAAGGGTGGGGACATTTCTAGGACCCTCCCTCTGGATGTGGAAGCCAGCCTATGCTCCCTCCATTTTCTTTGGTGGTCTCAGGGAAGTCATGCCCCATCTGTGGGCTCAACAGTGAAGCAGGAGGCTGAGGGCAGGGGAAATGCACAGCACCCATTGGCCTCATGAGAAGCCACAGCTGGACAGATGAGGAGGCTGGGATGCAAGGGCCCAGGCCAGCTGCTGTCAATAACAGAGCACTAAGCAAACCAAACACAGGTAATGACCCTGTGACAGGTTAAGTCCAGGCCTCAGGAAGGAAATGGGGCTGGGGAAATCTAGGCAGGGGAGATCAGGAACGACTTCCCATAGGAAGTAGCATTTGGGCCAAGATCACAAAAGTTAAGTTAATCAGGCAAACAGCCACAGGAAGCACTCACAGGGGCAGGGGCTGGAATGTGGCTCCGGGCCTTCTGGGTGGCCACCACCTTCTCAGGTTTGGCCTGCAGGAAGCCCTGGTTGAGCAGGCTGTTGTCCTCTTTGATACCTGGCAGAGTGAAGCTAGAGGAACTGGACGGGACACTTGTTGGCTGAAATCAAAACCCAGTTAGTCACCACTTTGCCACAAGATCTTTGCCAGGAGAAAACAAAACAAAACTGAAACATAACCTGGTATCCTGGCAGCCACCCGTACCCACCCGCCGCGCTGCTGAGAGCTAGAGCAGGGTGTTCTCTCTAAGCCTCAGTTCCCTTTCAGATATGGAGTTCAAACACGATCCCTTTAATCTTAAAAGATTAAAGGAGTATCTGTGAACCGATCACTTTAGAGCCCAGCAATGCCAGCTCCTGTCACGTGAGGCCCCACATGGTGCTCCAGGCTTCCTGGTGCAGACACACTCAAAAGCATCAAGTGGAATGTGCCCTGGACCCATAAGCACCCTGCTCTGCTCACCGGCTTGCCGTCTCAATGTTCCCCTTGGGGCCCAGGGCCTAGGAAGCCAAGACCACAGGCTAATTATTTCCCACACCCATCTCCACAGCAG